TTGTCCTGCCAACAATCAGCCGATAGCCAACGTGAGTTTCTTATTCGTTTTTCCTCCTGCTTATTAATATTCATCTAGTGCTCTGAGATCTCAGCATTTTCTTGACATAAACCTAATAATATTCCTCTGGGAAGAGATTAAGAGCCCTGCTGTGATGTGACCTTGGCTCATGTTTCAGGTTCAAAATGGCACTGTAGAGGACTTCGAGATAGCGGTCCAAGAAGCACGCAAAGCCTATGAGGTAATTTTCCATTCATCGCCATACTGGAGAACAAGAGAGTAGCGAGAAATATATATTATTTCGTACAATTGTGCCGTCATTTGATTGAGGATGTGAAAACATGAAGATGCACCAGCAAAAAACTGTGGTCTGAGAGAATCCAAAAGTTTTGTAGTGTCCAACTTCTCTCTTCGTAAAACCTCGGCATTGTTGTTACGTTTGTTAAATTCTTCTGTGCACACGAGGTAGGTGGAACTTTATTATGGCCTGACGTTTCGACTAGATCGTCTTCATCAGAGGCGTGGCTCATGGTTTGAAATTGCTCTCTCTACACCGCCAAAGATCTCCCCTTCCCTAACGTTTCTGACAGACTACTGAGAAAACCACCCGAAAATCCCGAATGAGAGGAAAGACTCACCCAGTCCACCACAGCGAGAGCGGAAGTAGCCGCTCAGTTAGTTGTTAGTACAATGAGTGGGACTTACTGTGCCAATCTTGTATAGTGATTATAGTCAGAAATGGCACGTCCCACCGCTCACATCTCGCAGTGCGACACATATGGCAAGAGGTCATTTGTTATGGATAAGCACTCATTGCGGTTGTTCATTCTAGGATTTCTTGCAGAAATCCAGAATGCCTCTAGCGCTTTTCTGGCAGAAATCTCAGTCTCGCATGCCAGTATCGTGCACTTCACATCAAAGTCGTTTCCGCTGTGCTCCTCGATTAGATGCCATGAGCTGCGTTTAGGCCTCTGATGAAGACGATCTAGTCGAAACGTCAGGCCATAATAAAGTTCCACCTACCAACCTCGTGTGCACAGAAGAATTTAACAAACTTAACAACAAAAGTTTTGGTGTTTTTCCGTGATTTCACATTCATCAATGATGAGGTTTTCCCATGATTCCTAGGTTAGAAGGTTTTACCGACGCTGTTATCACAAAGTTAACAAGTGAATCCGCGATCAGACTTCGCGGTCGCGCGATTGGATCTCGCCATCAGATCGCCCAATTGGATTGCGCGATCGCGAAGTCTGAACGGCGGTCTTACAATAGAGATGGAAGAATCGGTAGAGGTCGTTTTTCTGAGGTGATTGCATTTATAGTTTTACCTTAAATGGTAGTCTCATGGAGGAATAACAGCGCACCACGTTGGAGGTGTCACCTTGTTCGAGTCTGGTTTTTCTAAATTGAGGAAATTGAGGCGAGTCGCTTTCACAATGTGAGGTCAAACGCCATCCTGGAAAAGGACGACACCGGGTTTGAGGCGCTTATTCCGCGTTGCTGCAGGCAGCTTGAGTAGATGTCTACGGTATCAACGTTGATTAGTTGCTTTTATTAGCGCTTTATCGAAAACAGAATGGCGTGCCAGTTTCAGAGAGTCGTGGCATAATTGTCAGGTAGGGATCTCCTGACTTTTGCTGATGAGTCGCGCAGCAGCTGCTAGGCGTGTTGTCCTTATAGTGGACCCAGTTCTTATTTCAGTTATATCATCAAGTTGAGAAAGTGCTTCTCAGAAAGTGCTGCCCGGTCAGACAAAAAAGTTCTCCACGAATAGATAAAGATGCTGATCGGAGGTCTTATCTACCCAGATAGAAGCGACGCTGTCATGACCGAATCTAAGTGCTTGTCCATACGCTGTCATGACCGAATCTAGGTGCTTGTCCATAATCTCCCGTACTAGCGCCCGATGGGTTTCCTCCAATATCGGGTTACCACAATGCGTTACTTCAAAAAAGACTCATTATAGTTATTTCATAGTTGGTTATCAAGCTTTTCAGCAATGGTGTGAGGTACCGGCACCACGACGTGGTGAGATCGTACGACAAATCGGCGACAGACTCCGTTCTCAACTTCAAAACTTGGGTAAACTGGTGAGAACACCTTCCTTTGTTAGCACTTGATGCCATATGCAGTCTGCTTCTTAGGTTTCCATGGAAATGGGAAAAATCTCAGCTGAAGGCGTAGGGGAAGTCCAGGAATATGTTGACATCTGCGATTATGCTACTGGCTTATCGCGATCGCTTAACGGACAAATTCTACCATCAGAGAGACCAGGACATGCTCTTCTGGAACAGTGGAATCCTCTTGGTGAGTCACTTTACTTTTTATGTGTACTCATTTGTTACATAAGCCTGAAAGATGTAGACGGGGCTATATTGCGAACGCAGGGAAAAATGTCTTCGGAGCTTGTCCATCAGCAGGAGGGATCTGTTTTCGGAAAGACTATGCTGAAATAGAGGTATATGCGGGGAAATAGGGGCCGAGTGCCGATGACCTCCATGGTTTCAAGTCAGGGCACATTGGCTCGTTTTTGCGCAGAGGGAGGGGAATGGGCAGTGCACGGCAGCGGTTCACTTGAGCCGTACTGATGAAACTTCGTGGTGTCAGGGCATTGATAGATATCCTTTGTGGCCAAGTGTTTGCCAAACGGATGATGATACATCGTTAGAACCTCAGCAACCGTGATGAATTCTGTTAGGTGTTTCACCTCTTTAGTGCAATTCGAAGGACAAATTACATCCTCACCCTCTAGAAGCTGTTCATGCTGGATGCTAACAGGTCCGCAGCTGCAGCAGTGTGCCACCTTCTCCCTTCAAAAGTGCATGGAAACGGCCAGGCACGCGTAACTAGTCAACGGGCTACTTTCCTGAGGTTTGGCTTTTCTTTAGTTCTGACTGGATGTTCGCTGCGGTTTTTCTGTTGACGCAAAAGCTGCATTTTGGTGATACCGCGGGTGTGATCGGGAGACGGCATCTTGGTACCACTTCCCTGTGGTAGTCTTTCAGTGCCCCTCCAAGTGGAGAAAGTGGCAGGCGACTGCAGCTGCGACCACTTCAACATCGCACTTGGCAAAGACCGTTGTCAAATGGATTGTATCTTTTTTGCTCAACTACTCTGTTAGATGAGTGTAACCCAAGTTATTTTACGAACGACCCACCTTACTCGATCCTTCTTCATTGCGCGCATGGTGGTTAACCAGTTGGAACTTATATCATACAAGAAACAGTCGAAGCCAAAGTGTGTTAAGTACTTATGAAATTGCTGGTTTATTTTGAACTTCCCTACCAGCTTTCCTCCGGATTTCCTACTCTTACCAGGGAAGGTCTTCAACTTACCATGGAACTTTGAAAGGAGACCTAGG